ACTGCAGCTGCCCCGAGGCACTTTGTCACAACACGGGAACAATAGTGGGACACGGAGCTGTGTTTGTGCAGCGCCTGGGCTCTGCACTATCCAAGCAATGGTGGGGGGGTCTCGGCCGTCTTGTTTTCCACCTTGCAGGGTCGCTCGGAAAAGCGTGATGCTCCCCCCGTGCCAACAAAAATAGGAGTCCAGGAGAGGGGAGGTGACCCGGGGACACTGTGGTGGGTAAACATGGCACGGCTGCTCCATTCCTCCGTTCCCTTTCACTCACAGGGTGTTTCTTCCTGACCCAGCACACTGGGCTGCTCCCCCCGGGGCTGCAGGGCTCTGCTGATACCTGGAGAGCACTGGGATGGCCTGGCAGGTCCCAACTGGGCAACAGTGGGAGCAGGGCAGGGTCCTTCCACAGCAGATCTAGCCCAGCATCCTCCAGGAGGGCACAGGGAAGAGCTGGGAGCTGGTGGTGTGCCCAGACCCCCACCCCAGAGGGTTTCACCCCCCTTGTTCCCAGCAAGGAGGAAGCCAAGGGTGGGCTCAGCTCCCAGCCCAAGGGCAGCACAGCTGGGTGCCTCCCTCCTCATTTCCTCCAGTGGCTGATGGCAGTGATACTGCCCCATATCACCCATATTTCATTTTCTCCAGGGTATTTTTAGCCTGTCCCACCCTCAATGGAGAGGCCCTCGACAGAGAGCAGGCTCTGCTCTGGCCTGGCTTGGCTGGGGAACTAAACAACAGCCCCAGCCACATTGTGTGCCTTTATCTGTGGCTCATTTCCACCTATTATGCAGCCACAAGCAGCTCCATGGCCTCTGCTGGGTTTATCTGAAGTGGAGGGAGAGGGGCTGAGCTCTGCTTTGGGCCACCATGAGCCTGGGACGTGACAGTTCTGTCAAAAGGCTGGCCTCAGGGGGACAGGAGGCCACAGCAGGGAGGGTTGTGCTTTCAGTGGGTGAGTGGCACCCACAGCACAACTGGCTGTCCACTTTCCCCTTCTCCCCAGACCCATCACACCCAGAGGACAGCATTTCCCCCTCCCTCAGCCCCAAACCCTCCCAGAGGCAGCTGGAGGCTGCAGGAAGCACAGACACACCTCCTTCACCTTTTCTCATTCATCCAACTTTATTCAACAAGACCCAACACAGAATCTGCCAGGGGAAGGGAAACAGTGCCCACACCCCACCCTCACACCAGGGTCACAAAGGACCTGCAGCCCTTTGGTCACAGCAGGACAATCCCCTCTCACAGCATCAGTGGGCTGGGGAAGTCAGGGTGACAGCTCCTGTGACAACAGTTTGTCCTTCCACCCCCCCTCCCCAGCCCCTCAGCCCACAGCAGGAGATGACTAGTGCAAAGTAATAAAAACCCCAAAACCCCCAAACTATCAGATGCTGGGCTGATTGTTCCCTAAACCCCACGGGGCTCCAAGGCACATGGCCAGGCTGGACACAGCTCCCCAAAGTCCCTGCAAACTGCACCTTTAAGGCAGAAACTCCATGCTCAGCCCAGCAGGTTAAAAATAACTTAAAGGCACACATCCCATGGGAAAGAGCCCAGGGCTGGGAGGGGAGGGACTCACACTGCTGGGTCACCCACAGTGACCCTGCAGCCATTGGCGACAACAGAGCTGGCTTAACCCCTCTGTGTCCCTTGGGGAGGGGGCAGCTTCTGCAGCAAACCCTGGGCAGGTGCCAGGGCCACGGGAACGGGATGGGGCTGGTGGCCAGGATCAGTCAGCGTTGCCCCAGCCCAGCTTTTCCCGGCAGTCCCCGGCTCAGCCTGCTCCGTGTGGAGGCTGGAGACGAGCAGCTTCCCACGGCTGCACTCCTGGCTCCCATGCTGGCCGAGGCTCTGGGGTCTGGCTGAACCGCAGCTCCCAATGGCCAGCAGTCTGCAGCCATGGCCTCGGGGACAGCCTGTTCCACGGTGTGGCTCCAGAGCTTTCTCCCTTTCCCACGGCAAGGCACACAGGACACGGTGTCCCGGGGAACTTCGTGCAGTTTCCTTCCTTGCAGGGTCTGTGGGGAAAACCGGCGAGAGCTCCACAGCCGTGCTCCCGAGCATCCCATCCCAGAGCGGGCAGGTCTCTGGAGCCTCCAGAGGGGAATGTGTACAGCACAGAACCAGGCAGGAGGCAGCTGCCTGCCCACAGCCAGCACCTTTGCAGGCACAAGGGACCGAGGAATGTCCCCCTGCCAGCCGGGGCCAGCCCGGCACTACACGTATTGCTTTTTGGAGGCTGAGCTCCCGGGCCGGCTGCCCGGCTTCTCCTCCGGGGCGGAGGCTTCAGCAAGCCCGGGGGCATAGGGGTCCGACAGGGGCCTGCTGCCACTGCCCAGTGCCAGGTTCTCCTCGTTGCGGTAGTTGGCCCAGTTCTGCTCGCTGGACAGCTTGTTGTAGGTCTGGTAGGAGGGCGCATGGCTCTCAGCCATGGGCAGGAAGGGATAGTGCTTGGGTGCGTAGGGACTGGAGACCATGTCATCCACAAAGGTGTCCTGGCTTGGCCCAGCTGGCCCCGACACCTTCTTGATGTTGCTAAGCAGGTTCTTGCAGCAGAGGTGGAAGAGCTCCAGGAGGTTCAGGATTAAGGAGATCAGGCCCATCACCAGCATGAAGATGATGAAGATGCTCTTCTCGGTGGGGCGGGAGATGAAGCAGTCCACCTGATGGGGACAGGGGTCCCTCTTGCAGACGTAGCGGGGCACCATGGAGAAGCCATACAGGTACCACTGGCCCACGAGGAACCCGGCCTCAAAGATGCTCTTGCAGATGACGCTGGTGATGTACGTCCACATCAGCGCCCCTCGGATCTTGAGCCGCCCGCTCTCTGTCATGTAGATCTTGGACATCTTCTTCTCCAGGGCTGCCAGGGCCTGCTCGATCTTCGGGTCCTTGCTGTGGACAGCCCGAAGCTCGCTCTCCTGCTTCTTCAGCTTCTCCTCTTTGCGGGAGAGATAGACAACGTGGCCCAGGTAAATCAGGGTCGGGGTGCTGACAAAGAGGAACTGGAGCACCCAGTAGCGGATGTGGGATATGGGGAAGGCTTTGTCATAGCAGACGTTGGTGCAGCCTGGCTGCTTGGTGTTACACACGAAATCCGACTGCTCGTCCCCCCACACAGACTCCCCGGCCAGGCCCAGGATGAGGATGCGGAAGATGAAGAGCACGGTGAGCCAGATCTTCCCGATCACGGTCGAATGCTCCTGGACTTGGTCCAGCAGTTTCTGCAGGAATTCCCAGTCACCCATCTTCTAGGAACCCTTTGCCTCTGTCAGCAGAGAGAAGACAGCAGCCACGTCAGTGCCCTGTTTCCATGCTGGGGAGCACAGGGCAGATGTGACCACCTAAACCCTGCTTTTTCAGGATATAGCTGCTCTGCAGTGTCCCAGCAAACCCTCTGAGGAACATCCCACTTCTGAGGGAGGGAGGGTTCCAGGCAGCGTTTAGGAGCCCCAGAGGGCTCCTCCTACACAGTGCAGGAACAGGGAGCTGGGAGAGATGGGAATTCTCCCCTCCCAGCAGCACCCACAGCTCGTGGCTCTCCTGGCCACTCCAGGGACAGCCCGCAGCCAGGGGGGTTTTGGGGCTGCCCAGGGAGCTCAGGGCACCTGGAGAGGAGGCACTGTGGGGGCTCACAAATTTGCTGCTGTCCTGGCTTTCCCAAAAAGCAGAGAACAGGATAGTCTAGAGGGGAAGCACAACCCCTTGGGGTACAGCTGCCACCCCGATGCCTATTCAGGGCTCACCCCAAACTGAACTGACAGCCCCCCACCAGCTCCCCTGCTGCAGGGCGATGGACTCCCAGCCCCAGTCCCCTCCCATCGCCAGGGGATCCCCAGCACCGCTCACCACCCTGCTGCCGCTCCCGGGATTCTGGGGAGGCAAAACCTCACCCCGCGGGCGCTCAGCCCGGCTCTGAGGGAGGGACAGGGCGACCGCAGCCCCGGCTCCTCATTAACCGCTGCTAATTAAGCAGAGAATTAACGGCTGTGCCGTTAAAGGAATCCCTGGCAGCGGTGGGGTGCCCCGTCCCCAGCACGGTGTCCCCGAGCGGTCGCGGTGTCCCGGCGGTCCCGGCTGCCCGCACTCACCTCCGCCGCGCCGGGCACGTCCCGCCGGGCTCGGGCCGCGCTGGGTGTGAGGGGTCGGGCCGGGTGGCTCCGCTTATTCGGGGCCCGGGGAAGCCGGAGGAGGAGCGTGGGCAGGAAACAGGGGGCCGGGGCTTAGCACCGGGCCGGCCCGAGCTGCAGGTGTGCGGGGCTGCCCCCTCCCGCGGCCCCCGGACCAGGGGGCGGCCCCGGCGGGCGGGGCGGGGGCGGCCGGACCCCTCGGGGCCGAAGCTGGGGGAGAACGGTGGGAAGGCCGGGTGCCTCCAGCACTCTCATTACGGCTGGGGGTCCGCCACCGGGAAAATCGGCTGAGCCAGAGACCCCGGGATGCTCCGTTCCCCGCCCGGGGTCCCGGGGATGTTCCGTCCTTGCCCGCCCCGGCCGGACCGCGGCTGCGGCGCTCGTGGTTTGCCCCCGAGGGTCAGTGCGGTGCGGCGGGCGCTGGGTGGTGCTGGAGCCTCACCGGAGCCCGGCTGCGGTCCCGCATCCCGCCGGTTTTCGGGATGGGCCCCGCCGGTTCGCGGGATGAACCCCACCGGTTCCTGGCCCCCATCCCGCATCCCGCAGGCTCCCGGGCTGAGCCCCACCGGAGCCCAGTTGCGATCCCGCGTCCCGTCGGTTCTCGGGATGAACCCCACCGGAGCCCAGTCGGGAACTCCCGCGCAGTTTCCAGACGGAGCTTTGCTGTCGGGGGTCTCAGCACACCCCGACACGCTCGTGGGGCTGTGAAATGCCGAGCGGAGCTGGGAACAGCCGACCCTCCGCTAGTGCTGCTTAAGGAGAGATTAAATGGAAATCATTTCTATTTATTGTAATATTTATCAAGGTTTAGTAAATAATTGATGCTCATCCCTCCTTGATTTCCTTGGGGGCCAGCGTGAGGTTCTGCTGAATTAAAGTTTAACGACGCGTGACAAGCTGGGAGAGGCGGAACGGGCGGACGTGAGCTCGGCCGTGGGCTCGACCAATGCCCCGCTCAGGCGGAGGAGAAGGACCTGGCTGCAGGCTCCTGAGGAACCTCTGCAAATCCATGTCTTCTGCCCTCACCAGTCCCCCAATTTCCAGCGTGAAGAGCAGATCTTGGTGTCTCCAAACACGACATTTATTGGACTTTTGGATCCATAGCGTGTGCCGCATGTGATGTGCATCTGAGGTGAGGGAGGACACAGAGGCACCAAGGGAAGCAGCAGAGCCAGCAAGGGCTTTTGGGCAAAACATGGCTTGGTGCTTGTGTGAGCCAAGGGGGAGAAATAGCAAACTGGGCCAGCAGAACAGTTGCCAACAGACTGGAGTCCCGGTCCTCTGTCATTACTTTTGGTGCATGAAGAGAGCTCTGGCCACGGAGCCCAGAATTCCTTTGGTTTCTTGGTACAAAAGAAAGCAGTGCATGTGTGAGGCACAGTGAGCTGGGAGGACTGGCACGCACTGGGTGACACCAGCCCTGGCTGGGCACCAGCTGGGGGCACTCACACCCAGCATGGGAGCAGCAGAGCTGCAGAACCCAAGAGAAGCTGCTGGACTCGGAGGATCTGTGTGCTGCTGTGACGTCCATGCTTGTGGCACTGCCACCTGCAGAGCTCCAGGGCTGCCCTTGCCTTACCTGTGTCTGCTCAGGCACCCGTGGGTCTCTCTCCAGGGACATTACTTTGTTGAGTTTAGTCATTTTTCACACGGGTCGACTCTTGAGGGTTCAGGGATTTGCCAGGCTGGAAAAGCCAAGTTGAGGGGAATGTGAACCGTCTGGGGTGGGTGAGCTCACAGCTCTTCTCCTCTGTGGGAAGAACACACACACTCAGGCATGGCCATGGACAGCCAGCACCCACCTGCCACTGAGCGTGTCCACACCACTGGGACACCCAGGGATGTGCCCACGGTCCCAAGCAGGAGAGTTCTCATGGATGTGTCCCCCTCCCCTTACAGCCATCCAGATCCTGGTTGAAGAGTCTGGTGGTGGCATCACTGGTGGTCACCCGAGGTGCCAACCATCCCTGGCACATACCAGGACAGTTCTTCCCCACCACCCTTCCCAGTACCCCTCACAGAGCAGTCAGGGCTGCCACACACCTAGGCTGGGACTTGTTGTCCTTCTCCTCTGATTTGACATGGCAGTGGCAGGTGGAGGCCTTGCTGTAGCTGACGGAGCGCTTGGTGGATTTCCTCCACTTCCTTGTCCTCTGCACAACTCGCTTGAAGATGAGGTAGAAGATCTCACAGACGGTGAGGACGATGCAGATGGAGGAGGCTCCAACCATGAAATAGGTGAAGACCCTTTTCTCGGTTGGCCGAGCGATGTAGCAGTCCACGGTGTTGGGACAGGGATCCACGTTGGAGCACTTGACCAGCCGTGGCAAATCGAAGCTGTCCCACATCTTGTGGAGGAGGTAGAGGAACAGGATCTCTATGATAAGCTTGAAGAAGAGGCTGAACAGGTAGGTCCACCACAGCCCGCCGTGCTTCTTGCCTGTGTTGCTGTAGAGCTTGGGGCAATTCTCTCCATTCTTCTCCCGGTTCTTCCTCTCGCGGTCCTCCCTGTAGGCCACGTGCATGATGACCAGGAGGGAAGGACAAGTGACAAAGATGAGCTGCAGGGCCCAGAGGCGGATGTGGGAGACGGGGAAGAAGTGGTCAAAGCAGACGTTGGTGCAGCCCGGCTGCCGCGTGTTGCAGTCAAAGTCCTTCTGCTCGTCACCCCAGACCTTCTCGGCCGCCACCACGTAGACCAGCACACGGAAGACAAAGACCATGGAGAGCCAGATGCGGCTGAAGGCTGTGGAGTACTTGTTGACCCCGCTGAGCAGCGCCTGCAGCGTTTTCCAATCCATGGCAGCTGAGGGAGACCAGAGTCACCCAACCTGGAGAGGCAATGGAAGGAGCAATGGGGACACCACTGGGGCTGCACATCTCTTGCTCCACTAACTCTCACTGACCTCTGAACCCTCTCCCCCACCACATTACAGTCATCTAGGATGGGGGCTGTTCACCCTTGCAGACAGTAAAGCCCATCCTCACACACTCCTGGTGACAGGGGGGACTCAATCTCTCTGCACTTCCTTCTGATAGAGCTGCCAGGGATGAGCCACCTGGCCAAGTCCCTGCCACCAGCTCTGTGCCTGATTGTGAGTGCTAGTGCAGCACGATCTGCTGGAGCGGGCCAGGATCACCAGCCAAAGGGGAAATGGCTGCTCCTGCAGTGCTGGGGTGCTGGGACATGCCAGGGACCTGTTTTCTGTCTCACAGGTGATACCTGAGGCAGTCCAAACACAGGTGACAGTGGGGCTGCAGAAAGTGAGAGCCCGTGTGTGTCACAGTCTGTGTGTGTCACCAGCATGTCACCAGCACTTCACCCTGGCCAGCGCTCTGCTCCTGCTCCGGCAGCAACGCCGGAGGTGCCGACGGCCAAACCGGCTCTGCAGCTCAGCCTGGGGCTGCCCTGTGTCAGGAGGGAGACATGCTAAGCCTGACCCGGAGCTTTACTGCACCTGGATTTACAAACCCAGGTAGTTTTTACAACCCTCTGGGCTGTGAAGGTGTCTGCCCTGACAAAGGGATTCACAGAACACCGGGTTGCTCCCACTTTAAGGAATTGCCGCTGCCTGTTGCCCACCCAGTGCCTTCTGAGACGTACCTGGAGGAGGCTCAGGCTCCTTCCCCGCTCACCGGGGGCTGTGGGGTGGGAAGAGTCCAGCACAGGGCATAGCCAGGGTGCGATGGCAGACTGGTGATCAGGGTCCTCTCATCCAGTGCACTGTGGTGTCCCAGGGCTGTGGGGTGGAACAGAACCTGCAGCACTGCCCAGAGCCCATGGAACACTCTGAGAGCCTGTCCTTGGCCAGGGCCACCCACAGCAAGCCCCGAATCTGTGGCTGTGCTCCCACACTCCTGGCCCAGGGACGCACCGGGAAGGGTGGCTGGGCTGAGTGGCCCCAGGATGGGTCCCTGGCAGTGTGTGCCAAGTGCCAGGGCTGTGCCTCTCCCCATGCCCACACACCTTCACTCGCCACCCCATCTGAAACCAGATCTTCCTCCCTGGCAAACCCTCGGCTGGGAGTCAGGGTGGGGAGCAACCACTGTGTTCCCACCCAACCCTTGGATTTAAAACTGGGAGAACTGCTGTTTTGCCCCCAAAAACTGGTGCTGATGGAACTGGAGACTCTGCATGCCCCCAGTGCCAGCCAATTCCCCCACAACCCCATCCCTGGTGCCAGTGAGACCACCCCAGCACCCACCTGCCCATAACCCACCTGCCCAGCACCTGCGTGCCCGGATCAGCCCAGCGCTGGCTCCCGTCATGGACCCACAGTGGGGCAGGAAGGGGACGTGATCTCCGTGCCAAGCTCTGTGCCAATCCCCGTGGCAGCGGGTGTGTGCAGCACTCTGCGAGCCCCCAGGGGCTCCCCAGGGCTGGATGGCAGCCAGGCAGAGCAGGGGCAGTGCTCAGGTGTGCTCAGCTGTGCCGGCAGTGCCCGTTTGCCTCCCGCAGAGCCCAGCACCTTTGCCAGCCCCCAGGATGCCAACCCACTGCGTCACGGCCACGTCCTGCCCCGTGTGGGCGCAGGGCGTTGGACCCGACAGCGCCCTGCTCCCAGCTAGGCTGCAAACTCAGCAGAACCACTTTTCTCAGGGGGTCTCTGCCTCTTTTGGGGGTGGGACAGAGGTGCAAGGCCTGGGGGGGCCATTGCTGCTCCTCGGGGTGCCACGCTGTGCCATCCCCCTGTATCACCCCATGGGATGGGGACCCGGGCACGGCCTTTGGGGGCCTGATGTGGCACTGTGTGATGTTGGGGTCCCCACCTCTGAGCCCACAGTCACAGCAGCCCCAGGTCCCACCTGCCCCCCCGTTACACCTTAACACAACTCCCACCTGCTCCCCATTACCCCGCGGGGCTGTCCCCCCTCAACCCTGGCAGCCCCAGAGTACCCTGTGCCCCGGCAGGTACCTGTCCAGGTGGGAGAGCCTGAGGAAGGTGTCCGGATGGGATCGGGGAAGCTCCTTCCCAGCCTCAGCCCTCCCGCACACGCAGGGTTTGTCTGAGCGTGCGAGGGGAGGGGAAGGGTGGTTGGTTTGGTTCCCAGTAACTGGGTGAGTCTGGCAAACAGCTCCTGGAGACGTTCTTGCCGCGCACATGCACACACACGCTCGGCTTGAACAACAAAAGGCAGGTCAAATCCCGCAGGGAGATCAGCACAGGCACATTCCTCCGCAGGAAACACCAGCAGCTCCTTCCAGGTGATGTCCCATCCCCTGCAGGATGGTCTGGGCGCTGCGGAGCCAGCACCGTGCCCCAGCCGTGGGCCCACCAGCAAGTACTGCCGAGAGCCCCGGATTACGCAATTGCAACCCACTTTTGAAATGATTTTGCCTTAGTAATAGTTTTGCAACAGCTCATCGGTATCTCCAACCTACGGGAACTTGCAGGCACCGCCCTGGCGGGGCCGGTGTGGCCAGATGGGACCTTTCCCACAGAGCAGGTGGCACCAGGGTCCCCGTGCAGCCGGACCCTGCTCTGTTGCTGCCTCATGCCGCGCCCCATGGGACCCTCGAGGTGTCCCTAAGGGGGGTGTCCCCCTCCCTAGAGCTTCCAGGAGGCTGCGTCAGCCCATCCCACCGGATGTCCCATGGATCCAGCCGCGATAGGTGCCGATGTAGCCCGGGCAGGAATGCGCTTCCCTTCCTCACCTGGTTTCTAGAGTTCCCCGAGGATTCCCTGGAATCCTCCGGCACACCCTGGGGCCGATCAGCCGTGCTGGAGCCACCTCGGCACCTGGCCAGGGCCACCCCTCCCATGGGGACACGGCTGAAGAGCCCCGGGGTGCTTGGTGCCTGCAGAGATTTGCTCCCTGCTCTTCTGGCAGACAAGGAGCCACTTGCCCGGAGGCTTTTTGTCTCCAGGAGGTCAAACAAAGCCAGTGAGGGTTTGCCAGGCTGGGGACAATGGAATGGGAGCCCAGAAGACCCAAAGCAAACCCTGGTGGGAGCCTGGGGGTGCAGGATGGGGTGGGCCTGGAGGAGGGGACAGCCACCCCAATCCCAGATGAGAGGCACCCCAATCCCAGATGAGAGCCAAGCAGGGGCTCCGGAACCTTCCTTCACCCCGGAGCTGCCCGGATCAGGAATTTGAGCTATGTTGATGCAGAGAGCTGGTGTGGCAGGAGCTCTGCAGGAATCTGGGGGCTGTGGCCTGTGAGGTGAGAAGCCCTGGAGAGAGGGAAGCTGTTGGGAAGCGCTGGCATCTCTGATTCCTTGCAGAAGCAGCTGCTCCCTGCCCCACGGCCAAACCCTGTAAGGGCCAGGTGAAGAGTGGGGCCAGATCCCCCTGGGCAGCCTCTTGCCTGCAGTTTTGGAATTTCTGGAGCAGCCCTGTGGTCACGGTGAGAAAGTTCAGGTGCATTTGGCATGGGCAGAAGATCTCCCTCAGGCAGTTGGGTGGGGAGCAGAAACAGCCCATGCTTTGCAGTGTTTGAAATGCTGAGCTGGGTGTTTGGGTAAATCTATAAATCCATCAAGGGGAACATCCCTGCGCCCACACTGGCAGAGGGATGGTAATGGGGGCACAGGGACAAGGTGCCAGGGTGGATCTGCAGATCTCAGCACTTGGGGAGCTTCAGGGGTATGCCCAGGACGTGTCACCCTGGTGCCACCCTGCTCCCACACAGCAGGGTGACAGCTGAGAGGCCTCAGTGCCAGATGTGAGCACTGAAACACCCACCTTAGGGAGGCCCTACCTTGGCTCCTCCATAAAGGAAAAACCCACACTGCGGAGCTGGCAGACGCCAAACCAGCAGGAAAACCTCAAACCTAAAACCCTTTTCAGAAGGGTCTTAAATGGAGCATGGCAGGATTCTGCCTGCCAACAGCTGTCCCCCTCCAGGGCCACATCCCCAGGGACGAGACTCCCCCGCAAGAGCAGGGGCAGAGGAGTCATGGGGTCCTGGGAGCTGGCAGCCAGGGCTGGACATAAATCAGAGAGATTCTCCTCAATTCCCAGCAAACAGGCAGGTTTTGGCCAGGGCAGAAACGAACCCAAGCTGGGAAGGCAAATTTACCCCTGACCTGTGCATGCAATCCCCTCCACATCCCTGCCTGGGCTGGAGTTGGTGGTGAGTTTCTTTAAAATCCCCTCACCCCAAAATTTAGGAGGTCTTCTGGGACCTCACAAGCAAATACAGGGAATTTCCTGTGTGAGGATGCAGACTCTGGGAAATATTCAGCTTTTATTGTGACACACCCCCCTGGTTTGCTGACTCTGGTCCTGCCTCTGCATTCCAGGAGATATCCCAGTATCCAGACCCCTGTTTTTGCAGCACCAATATCAAAAGAAGCAGCCAAATGCTCCTGTTTTTCTGGCTGACTGCTGCTTATCCCAAGCCTGGATGGTGCAAGAGACCCAGAGCTCTGCAATGTTTGCTCTGAGCAAGACAAAACAGCAGAACAACATCCAGCAGCTGGATCTTCAGGTGTCTCTCAATGGGCAGCAGCTCCAGCTGTGCTTTGGTGTGCAGAGGTGGGACAGGGTGGTTTTTCTGGGGCTCATCTCTGTCCCCATTAGTGCCTGCAGAGGGGAACTCCTTGGGCTTTCACTCTCCAGCCTGGAGCAGGAGTGGCCAACCTTGCTGGAAAACAAACAGCCCAGCCCATGCTCTTTAATTCGGGGCAATGGCTCGCACACAAAGAACAACTTGTGTCCTTTGACGTTATGCACTTCATAAAGAAAACTTTCAGGTGGATAATCCAGCAGCAGGAGCGGATGGAAGGAAGGCAGTGCCAGCACAACTTCCTCTGAGAAGTGGAAAAAATTCTGTGTGTATTTCATCATCTGTGTCTCTGACCCCAAAAGTCCCCAAACTCAAGGAGCTGCTGTGGGCTCAGAGGGCTCAGTGCTGGTGGCCAGGATCCCCCCAGGGCTTCTCCACCACCCTCACCCCCACCAGTGGCTGGTTCAGTCCCTGCCCTCCCATCCAGCAGTGCTGCAGCCCCACCTGCTCTTGGCTTCCCTTCAGCCCTGCCTGTCCCCAGCATCCCCCTGGGCACAGCAGCCCCTCAGCCTCCCATCCAGCTGTGGGAAAAGAGCTCAGTTTTGCCCATGGAAGGTCTCAGCTGGAAAACTGCAATGATCTGTCACTGAGAACGGCCTCAGTCACATAAAGGACACAGCGATGGTGTTCCCTCGCCCCCTGTGCCACTTCCTTTGGGACAGAGCCAGGGAGCGCTGGCACTGTCACTGCTCATGGAAAAAATAATTATCACACCCTCCGAGTAAAGCAAAACCAGTAACAGATCGAGCTGCATGTTCAATGTTAATGTTTCTTGTGAGTGCATTTGCCATGAAATTATTGTTAATTATTCATGCCAGCTGCCTCTGATGGCCTCGGAAGTGGCAGCACCACCCGTGTCACGGCCGAACGCGATGGATTACAACAATGAACGAGATCAGATTCTGCCATTTAATGTTATTGTTTAATCAATGCTTGGGGTGTTTTCCTCTCCTGTGTTCGGCTGTTTTGCTCAGGTGTTTTGCCCTGGCCAGGCAGGATGATCCAGCAGCTCACAGCGGGCTCTGCCTGCCTGGCCGGATCCTCACGCCTGCGCTTCGCCGCGGTGGCTGCGACACCAGGGACCTGCTCTTGCCCCCACTCAACTAATGAGTGTTATT